GCCACTTTATATATAAATATTAGCTAAAATTTCAAATTGGCCTCTTTATATATATAAAAAATAAAATCTGAATTTGGTTGCTAAAAATTTTTATTGGTTGGGACTAGGTTGTTCACACTGTAGTTTTGAGAAGTTTCATATAAAAAAAAGAAAGATTTTATATGTTAATTCTATGTTTAAGTATATTCTAAATATATTTTTGACACTTGTATTATTCTTTGACAGTGCTTTTTCTGATACTTCTTTTTTGAAATTTACACTGTATCTTTCTATCCAGCCTTTTATAGTTTTTATCATTGGTATTTCTTCAAATATAAGCTTTCCATTTACAGCCAAGTCTTCTAAACTAGTATGCATATCTTCAGATAAGTCATAATTTTCAGCTTTTAAATTTCCTGTTAAAAAAAAGTCCTGCAAGTATTGTACTACTTTTTTTGCTATATATTTTTCTGCGCCTTTTTTACCAAGTTTTATATTCTCTTTTAGGGCCTAGCCGGTATTAAAAGAGAACTTCTGATCCACACTATAATATAGGTTGCTTAGTATACAAAATAATATGTACCAAATGAAGTGACTGACAGTATAGTAATAAATATACTACCTTGAATCTTTCAATTTGATGAATTCAAATAGTTTGTGGGCAGCAAAATAGATCAAAAAAGCAAGTAGTACAAACTAGTGTTTAAATCTATATGCTTTGAGATTTTTATACATAGAAAATGTATATATATGTATATAATTACCTTTTATAGTGTTTGACATTTCTTCTAATTCATTACTGCTAACTAAATATCAGTTTATAGAATGTTTAGTACAAATGTAATATACTATTTAACTAAGTCTCCTTTGAACATGTTATATCAAACACTTGCACACAATAATTATAAAGAATCTTCTTGATTATTAAGAGTAAGCTTTTTTTATAATATAAAGTTTATTGTGAAAATTTAACACTAGAAGAACTGATAAGCATAATTATAAACTAAAGATTCTTTGTAATTATAATAGCAAGTTTCTTTGTTATTGGGCTAAATTAGATATTTATAGCTTAGGTTATATCTTCAAATTCTGCCACATTATCTAATCTGTTGCTTATTTCTTCACTTATAGATAACTCTAATTATTATTATTATTATTATTATTTCTATTTTTTTGCCAATCAACTATAACAAATGAGCTTTCTTGCTTGTTTTTTTTAATAATTGGTATTGTTCAAGCAGTTTTGGGTTTAGACAGTTCAGAAAATGTTGGAGATAGTCTATTATAGAAGGTAGCAATTTGTTCAGGTCAGAAATTAGTTCATACACCTATATGAGAAAGAGAACAGGCAAGAATATATTCTGCAAATTGACCTGTTACAGGCCAGAACCACTCAAACCATCTAGAAATTTCAAGTATAGTTTTGAATTTTTTTTTGTTGACATTAGATCCTAATTAATTATTAACTCTAACATTTTTGTAAAAATAATTGCATATATGTATAAGTTCATTGACACGACTCAGATTAGGATATCTAACATGTCAAATAGTATAGCATGCTTTGAATATTATTTGATATGCAAATTTTTATAATTTTGACTAATAGAAAGCTAATATTAAAAACAAACTTATTTTATTTAAACTTACTTTAATAATTTAGAACTTATCTCTACATTATTTTGATCTATTAATAATATTGATTTGTCTACTATTCTGCTATGATTTGGTTCTATATATGCTGTATTCTACTTATATTTTGAAGTGCTATTTCGATATTTTTTCTATCAGTAAGATTACATCCAACTCTAATGTATCTTTTAATTGTATAATTAATATCAATTTTATTAGTAAAAGGTAAAAAAAAATCAAATACAGAGTTTTTGTCTTAAAAATAACCTTATGAGACATTGTCCTATAAGGTCATTTTCAAGGCAAAAACTCTATATAATTCTGAATTTACTTGCTGTTGCATGGTAAGAGTCAATAGTAGTTTTGGCCTCTCCTGGCTCAAAAAAAATCTATCTACGCACTTCTACATTATACCAACTATACCAATAAC